CTGTTGCTGTATTTTGTGTTCCTGTGTCGTTTTAAAAAGCGTTTGGGCTAGTTTTGCTGCCCTGCCTTTTGTTATTTTTCCCATATTAACCCTATAAAACGTTACGTTAAGCATGCATTGTTAGCAGATGTGTTAATTTTTAACGTGCGCTCACGTGAATTTGGGACGTCTGTGGTCATAGTGGCAGTATCTGAGGTTATTATAATCATTACCTGTCGTTGGGGCAGAAGATGTTGTAGTATTTGGCGACGCTGTAGTTCTTGGCAGTTTAGTCGTTTCAGGAAGTGGCGTTGTGGTTTGTGGTGATGTTGTAGTTTGAGGTGACGTCGCTAAAATAAAAAAAAAAACGCTCGGTTAGTTGAGTATTGGTCAGGTTAACCACCTGAAATGGTTTTGAAACGGTTAGGTTGTTTTTCTCCTTCACAAATAGGAAATGTGACAACAATGACATTTTGTAGATTGTTTTGTACTGCTTGACTTAATTGCCTCCTTTTTTGTCTGCGAGCGAAAGTCTTTATTTGGGGACAAAAAGCTTCGGAACTGTGTTCACACCCTTAGTGTATAGTTATTAACTCTTTACACCCTTACATCAAAATTCAGATTCTCATTATTTGTTTTACCTATAGGTTTTCTTTAGAAGTTGTGAGGGGGATTTTTGAAGTATCAATTAGAAGTCATCTTGTTTGATCATTTCCTTAATTCGCATCACCAATATGTTTCCAAAGAATTGATATTACAAGGAGAAATTTGATGATGATGATGCTGATGATGATGGTGATGAAATTGCACATCCAGGTTGTGGTCAATTGACAGCTGTCTAAACAGCACATCCGCAGACTAGTAAAATATGATCATATCGCGGGCTCATGTGTCGACCCATCGATTTGGTCCGTTTTTTGAAGTTATCCGCTGACTAGTTACTAGTTTTCAACTGATGGCAGGCTGAACTCTAAATGGATTTCTTTGCGACGGCTACAAGTTTACTGTTTGAAGTAAATAATATTATGAATTCACTAACGGCAGATTCGCTGTTAGCCTTGGGTAAATCTATATATTACAGTGCATCGAGGCTTACTTGGACAATCGCGAACCGTGCACCCTTCTGTCTCAACTGGTAATCCAACACAGTACACGTTACCACCAGGTCGTGGTGGAGGATTGTCGCACAGGCGCGCTCGAGTCCTTATACCTCTTCCACAAGTTACACTACAGGTAGTCCAACTGCCCCAGTTTGACCAGTTTGGTGCTGCAACGTAAAAAAAAGAGACCACTATTAGAACCAGCAAGGATGTGAGTCCCAAGCCTGTGCCAGACTTTTGGTCAGTGCGCACCAGGAAAAAAGCGAGCAAGCAGTAAAATAGCGAATGAGCGAAAAAAGGTAGGAAGAAAGAAGGAGGCAGCCTTTAACCATCTTTTCAAATACTCAAATACGCCCACTTCTTGAAAAACCGTTTCTCGTGACAAAATTTCAAATGTCAAAACGTCGAAAGGTGCGGTGTAGGAGGGTTTCACATGCTCGACATGTTTGTTAGAATCTGGGAGCAGGACACCAGAGTTCCATTTTCCTCTATAGGTCTCACTGCCTTTTCAAGGCTGTTCTTATCGGCAGAAGAACTTATGTCTGTCATAACAACTAAGGCCTTCCGATTGTTGGATTCGCCCAAAGAGTTATTTTGGAAGACAACGAGAGCTTCTTCTAGAACATTGATCAAAGGTTCTGACGCACCCACTGCTCGTCGGGCGCGCCTAGCGGCAGCATGGGATTCGTTGGCACCGAAACTGAAATTGACCATTTTCAACACCCCATCAACGTAGGCAATGACGTAATAGTTCACATATTCATATTCTTCAATGAATTGTTTTGCAGTGGTTTCCATTAGAGCGTACGTTTCGTTTGAAAAATCGGATGAGGCAATGAGTGCAAATACGATGTCGATGTATGTGCGGTTGATTCCTGAGACAAACAATAAAACAGAGGAAAACATAAATGGTTAGAAGGAAGACATATAAAGACATATATCATTTTATAAATGTACCTTGTTTAGCTTAATTCTTTAAACCCTGGGATCAAAATTTGAATTCTCATTTGTTGCCCCTACTCATTCCTGCAAAAGTCATGGGGAGAAGTTGATGAAATATCAAACAAATTCATTTTGTGTGATCATTGCCTTAATTCTCATGACCACTCTGTTTTACAAAGCATTGATATCACAAGGAGAAATTTGATGCTGATCACTCTTAGAGCTTAAAGGGTTAATTCTTCCTTTCAGTGGAAACATTTGCCATTTATGTGAAAATGTTAAAGCTCCAAAACATGTTACGCAATTTCATCAAAATTTCTCGTGATAAAGAGTGATAGATCATCTGGAACGGAACATTATAAATAACCTGAAAGAAAAACACAATTCCCTTCCTCAAAAATAAATAAATAATTGGCATTATCATTTGATGCAAGTTTTTCTTCCTTTTCGTTGGCCAAAAGCCCACCGCGTGACCTGCAAAAGCTGCCTACAAATAATGGTCTGCTCATGCGCAATGTCGTCTAACTGTGTTTGGCTGCAAATAATTTTCCGCTCATGCGTAAAATAAAACTACGCTTTGCTTCTTCTTGGCGAAAAACTCGGTTATTGCAAAATATCGTGATTTGTCAATGTATCGCAGATCCACTATTTGCCTCTGCCATACTTGATCTGCTCACCACTGACAAATTATATACGATACTTTTCTCAACCTCGTCCAATAATTATAAGTTAAATGGTATTTACCCGTTAATGTCTTTATTTTCCGTGCTTTTGTAAAATGAAAGAATAGCTCAAGATACCTATTAGCGGTTATCCATTAGAGCTTTTTAAATCTACTTTGGAGGTCTAATTATAAGCAAAGAAGAGCAATGAAACACTAACCTGCAGTAGGAGTTGGAGTAGGCATTGTCGTTGGAGCAGCAGTGGTGTAATTCCCGACTCCTGTAGCAAGAAACACAAGAAACTGATATTATTCTAATATCCCCAGACGGTTCCTACAATGTTTTTTTTTTGACGACCAATCCTCTTCCCCTCTCTCTAGATAATGGTGCACCCTTCACAGGAAAAAGAACAAAGACCGAACCTTTGCCTAGGTAGTGTGAAGACTCTGGATTGTTGCGATTCTGAAGCATACTCCATTCAAGGGAGTGTGTCAAAAATGTCGTTGTTGTTGTCATTACGTCGTAGCAGGGCTTTCAAACTCAACAGTGAGCGCATGTTAAAAATTAATACATCTGCGTTTTATAGGGTTTATATGGAAAAATAACAAATGGGAAACAAATGTCGTATTATCTTACCTTATCTTATAGGAAAGAATTAAAATGAACTTACCTGTTGCTGTATTTTGTGTTCCTGTGTCGTTTTAAAAAGCGTTTGGGCTAGTTTTGCTGCCCTGCCTTTTGTTATTTTTCCCATATTAACCCTATAAAACGCTACGTTAAGCATTGTTAGCAGATTTGTTAATTTTTAACGTGCGCTCACGTGAGTTTGGGACGTCTGTGGTCATAGTGGCAGTATCTGAGGTTATTATAATCATTACCTGTCGTTGGGGCGGAAGATGTTGTAGTATTTGGCGACGCTGTAGTGCTTGGGAGTTTAGTCGTTTCAGGAAGAGACGTTGTGGTTTGTGGTGATTTTGTAGTTTGAGGTGACGTCGCTAAAATAAAAAAAAAAATCCCGGTTAGTTGAGTATTGGTCAGGTTAACCACCTGAAATTGTTTTGAAACGGTGAGGTTGTTTTTCTCCTTCACAAAAAGGAAATGTGACAACAATATCATTTTGAAGATTGTTTTGTACTGCTTAATTGCCTCCTTTTTTGGCTGCGAGCGAAAGCCTTTGGGGACAAAAAGCTTCGGAACTGTGTTCACACCCTTAGTGTATAGTTATTAACTCTTTACACCCTTACATCAAAATTCAGATTCTCATTATTTGTTGTACCTATAAATTTTCTTTCGAAGTTGTGAGGGGAATTTTTGAAGTATCAATTAGAAGTCATCTTGTTTGATCATGTTCTTAATTCGCATCACCAAGATGTTTCCAAAGAATTGATATTACTTGGAGAAATTTGATGATGATGATGCTGATGATGATGGTGATGAAATTGCACATCCAGGTTGGGTCAATTGACAGCTGTCTAAACAGCACATCCGCAGACTAGTAAAATATGATCATATCGCGGGCTCATGTGTCGACCCATCGATTTGGCCCGTTTTTTGAGGTTATCCGCTGACTAGTTACTAGTTTTCAACTGATCGCAGGCTGAACTCTAAATAGATTTCTTTGCGATGGCTACAAGTTTTTACTGTTTGAAGTAAATAATATTATGAATTCACTAACGGCAGATTCGCTGATAGCCTTGGGTAAATCTATATATTACAGTGCATCGAGGCTTACTTGGACAATCGCGAACCGTGCACCCTTCTGTCTCAACTGGTAATCCAACACAGTACACGTTACCACCAGGTGGTGGTGGAGGATTGTTGCACAGGCGCGCTCGAGTCCTTATACCTCTTCCACAAGTTGCACTACAGGTAGTCCAACTGCCCCAGTTTGACCAGTTTGGTGCTGCAACGTAAAAAAAGAGAGGCCACTATTAGAACCATCAAGGATGTGAGTCCCAAGCCTGTGCCAGACTTTTGGTCAGTGCGCACGAGGAAAAAAGCGAGCAAGCAGTAAAATATATAGCGAATGAGCGAAAAAAGGTAGGAAGAAAGAAGGAGGCAGCCTTTAACCATCTTTTCAAATACTCAAATACGCCCACTTCTTCAAAAACCGTTTCTCGTGACAAAATTTCAAATGTCAAAACGTCGAAAGGTGCGGTGTAGGAGGGTTTCACATGCTCGACATGTTTGTTAGAATCTGGGAGCAGGACAGCAAATGATTGGCGTACGTGTTGAAGTAAACAGGCAAAATTGACCAATCATAGGGTGTACCAGGTATGGTATACCCTATGAGCTATTGAAACAATGCTTATAGGCTCCACTACTCTTGCTTTCAGGCAACTTTCCTCAGTATCTTGGAACCTGGAACAGGTCATTGAGTGTCATAATGTCAAATCATTATTGTACGTCCATGCGTCAGGGGCAACCAACGAGGATATAGTTTAAAACCACTTAACATAGCATTGTTGAATGATTTTAGTATTCAAACGGTAGATATAGGCATATTTTTATCCCGTAAAAACTTTTCATCTGTTCGGATTTCCTAGCTGAAAGTCTAGTGATCCAAAAATTATAGGGATAAAAACCTACCTTCTCGAAAATTTCAGCCAGGAAAAGGCTCCGGCAAATTCTAGGTGGCCTTTTTTAGGGTCAAAATCCGTTAAAAATGGGTAATTTTACCATTTTGTAGATGTTCAAAAATCCTAGGAGAGGCAGGCAAGCAAGAAATTTTACAACAAATGCTCCGAAAATTCTAGATCTCAAATCGTCTTCCGAACAGATATTTTCCCGAAAATTGCCGTTGGGTGCCCCTGATGCGTTTAGGACATGCCTTTGTTTGTGGCTTGTGTTGGTCAACATTGCCCTTGACCATCAACAACAAATTGCTGATATTTCAAGGTTGCGAAAATTTAATACTAGTCTCCCACGCAGCCATTTTTGTGGGGAGAAGCGTTGCGTGATGAGACAAAAGGAGACTATAATGAAACAAGGTGTCTTACGCATTCATCGTAACAACTTCGAATATACTAACTTCATTATGATATGACTTGATGTCACGGTCACCGCCAAATGTTTACCTTTGCAATGAACAATAATTGGATGAGGTTTTTGTGATATTCACAATAATGAAGGTCGAGGTAAGTGTCGTCAGCTAAGCCGAAGGCTGAGGCTGATAACAACCGAGCCCTTGATTATTGCGGATATCACAAAAACTGATATAATATTGTGTTATTATACGTTGTTTTGAAATAACGGCACAAACCCACACCGTTACATGGACAAAGTCTTACATTGCTCTTGGAAATCATGTATTACGCGCCAAACCTAAATATAAGTCAGTTATCTGCTAGCAGATAACTAACTAATCTGTTGGTTGCGCTGCTTTCCTAATAAACTGTAGGCTCTTAACCAGTGAGAAGAAAGATGATCAGTACAATGCATAATAATGCCAATTAACAGTATAACACGATTCCTGAACTTATAAATCTAAGAAAGTTCCATACTTACGGCAATTAGTATTACTACAAAACTGATCTTCCTTTTTATGCCCTGCGCATGGTCTCCCTCCAAATGCTGGAGCGGGATTGGTGCAGCTTCTAGTCCTGGTTGTGACCTGATTACAGGAGCACTGACTCCATGAACTCCATTGAGACAAACCTCCATCCACGGGCGTTGGTGCTGAAGGTGGCGACCGAAATCTATCAGTACTACATTACAAGTTTCTGGGAAACTGCCCACATATCCCTCCCTTAAGCCAACATTCTGCCCTAAGTGAGAAGTAAGTGTTAATGTTGGTTTAGGGGAAGGGTAGGTGGGCAGTTTCACAGACACCTATAATGATTCATACATAAGGGTCTTAATAGGGTTAACCGTCAGCTGTCGAAAAAAGTATTGTATTTTTACCGTCAACCGTCAAAAAGGTTACAAGTGTTTCAAATATCACTATTTCAGCTGATCTTCCAGGACTTCTGGCCCCTGAAGAGTCTCTAAATTGAAAAAAAAATAGTTCCCATGTTCGCAAAGACACTGTCTCTAGACATTGCAAAACCTTACAACCTGCTTATATCTGAAAATATTTCAAAACGCTTAATTGAAAAGCCAAGACAACATTCAAAACATAACAGTTAAAATAAATTAAAACAGAAGTTATTATGTTTCTTCAACTCATGGTCGGGACTAATTTTTACTTAGTAAATGGCCAACCGTCAAAAGCTCTAAAACTTAACCATCAGCTGTCAAAATTTGAAAACGTTAACCGTTAACCGTCAAAGCTACCACCCTATTTGAACCCTCATATATCATTCAAGATGTTACTCCTAAGTTCTAAGCGTGTTGTAAACGCTAATCAACCCAAAAAGTCGATGATTTCCCAAGAGTTTTGGCCTAGAAGTGCTCATCTTTGCTACACATTTTAACCTGGCTTCCCCGTTTGGAAAATGTTGCCTTCTTCACCAGGAACTGAAAGCTATCTACTGAAAAAATAATAGCTATTTATTCAACTAAGATTGAGAGTTGACCGAATGATAGTTAAAACTGTCCAAACCGGTTTAGCGAGCAAGGGTGATCACTGGTCAGATGTATTTATACCAAAGCTAAACAGGGGCAGTTTCTAAAAACTAAAAGCGCAGTCTCAATAGAGGGCACTTTTACTTCTAATTTTCCTCGGGATGTGGGGTAGGAAAAGGGCGTGGGGGCCCTGTGAGAATATGGGGGTTGGAGTGGTAAGTGAGGTGGGAGAGGTATGGGCGGAAGGAGGGAGTTCTAAAGGGGTGGGAAACGGGAGAAAGTTACGCAACGATGCTTAATGTTTCGCAATCGAACAAAGGCTATAGGGCGAGAACCAAGAAAAAATAAAGGGCGGGGCCCGGAAATGCAAGGTACGAGATACTGGCGGTTTCGAACTCTCCCCACCACCCCCCTTGCAACGGTTCTACCTTTTTATAATTGTTTACCTTTCCCGCAGCTTAGAACGTCCACACGCATACACAGATTATTTTCGCTTGGGGTCAGTGGTTCCTCTGGATTAAAAACCNTCACTGGTCAGATGTATTTATACCAAAGCTAAACAGGGGCAGTTTCTAAAAACTAAAAGCGCAGTCTCAATAGAGGGCACTTTTACTTCTAATTTTCCTCGGGATGTGGGGTAGGAAAAGGGCGTGGGGGCTCTGTGAGAATATGGGGGTTGGAGTGGTACGTGAGGTGGGAGAGGTATGGGCGGAAGGAGGGAGTTCTAAAGGGGTGGGAAACGGGAGAAAGTTACGCAACGATGCTTAATGTTTCGTAATCGAACAAAGGCTATAGGGCGAGAGCCAAGAAAAAATAAAGGGCGGGGCCCGGAAATGCAAGGTACGAGATACTGGCGGTTTCGAACTCTCCCCACCACCCCCCTTGCAACGGTTCTCCCTTTTATAATTGTTTACCTTTCCCGCAGCTTAGAACGTCCACACGCATACACAGATTATTTTCGCTTTGGGTCAGTGGTTCCTCTGGATTAAAAACCACCCACCGGGCTGGCGCAGGCATGGTTAGGTTACTACTAACTACAGTGTCACCATTAAAATTAGCCCCAAAAAACTCCTTGAAAGAAAAAGAAAAATGAGAGAGAGTTAGTACAGTATGTATTCACTTGATATAATCAGGCAAAATAAGCTATAATAGGCCAAATAATTCGGAAACCGCGTTATTTCAGCCTGACTTCATATATGCCCAAATAATTAGAACTTAAAGAAGCAAGGCAAGCAAGATCAACGTGTTTTTCTTACCTTCCGGCCATCTTCCGCTTCAAGAACTTCAGTGAAGGTTGTATTGTCGGTACTGACAAACAGCAAATACTCGGACACCGACCTCCTTGTTGCGGGCATTCCTTGCACGGACACTTGGTCTACAATCAGGTTCTTTAAACCTTTTTATTGTAAAGAGAAAAATATTGAAAATCAACGGCAGAATAGAAATAAGGCCACATTTATATGCAGATTGTGAACTTGTCGAGGGTGAAAGAGCCATTCCTCTGCCCGTGCTCTGATGGGTGATATGGCTGTGCACATGCGTGAGGTACTGGCCAGGCAGTGGGTTGGTGTATGTGTGCCCCTTGGTGTATGTGTGCCCCTTGCTTTAAGTTTGTCTTGCCTTGAATTGAGCGAGCCAACTTTTGCTACATTTCCTTACAAAATGATCGTTAACTACTTAGGCGTTGATAACAATAAATAAACTGTAACCAAATGATAACAAGAGAAAATAAATTTGTTAAAAATAAAGCATCTAATAAGATTTCTCATAACGTGATAAATTCAACAATAAATTGTTTACCTAAATCAACCATCAAACGTTGGCCTCTGCTTATAACACCGGCACACCAAAATTGGTTGCTGTGAAGCACAGGATACCCAAGGGGAGACAAACTGGTTGAAGCATAAAATTTGACATTTGGATTGTTCTTGATGAGTGAAACACAGGCTGAAAGTTAAAGCGGACAAAATAAGTTTCTATAACAAGCTAGTTTCTTAACAACAGGCACTTATATATTATGGAGCATTTAAAAAATACATGAAAATGCTATAAACTAATCAGAGCACAAAAGAGAAAAGGGCGGGGGAAAAGGGTGAGCTTTGGTTTCAAGCCTTGTTGCATTGGTCAAGGAAATAACTTCAATTCGTTTAGCCAATCAAAAGTCAGCAACTGTTAAAGTGCATTTGACACTGCACTAATTTTAGAAAGCTACTTGATAAGAACTTAATTATTATTCAATTAGGCCCAATTTCGATCAGGGAAAAATATGATATGTTGCAAAAACTGGTTAGGGTAGAATTATCACGATGCTAAAAGGATTGCACCGTCCGTAACATCACTATGCGCACCAAGTTTCTTCGAATCTGTCTTGCGAATTGTTATAATCTTGAAAATTTCTGTTTACGTCCTCCTCGTCGACATCAAAGATGCCAGGATGTTAAGCTGGTACCACGTTTTAAGAAGTAAAGTACAGAAACAACAACAAAACAAATGACAAACTACAGACGTTTCTATTTTGGGATGTAATAGCTGCTGATTGCCTAATGAATAAACAAAAAAGGTTGGTCATATGATGACTGCCGCTTAAACGCTAGCCAAGCGTGTGTCCGCTAAGTTTAGAAAGTCGATAATGACGTGAGCTTATAAATTAGTATTTTACGATCTTTTGATATGTTTTACTTCAACAAAATTTTAGTCTATGATTATAGTGGAATGTAAATTGATCATATGTTAATAAAGGTTCATCTTATTTTTAAAATAGGTTGGTTGTTATTATTATTGTTATTATTATTATTATTATTATTATTATTATTATTATTATTGCTTTCGCTTTTACGCCACACAGCACTGATAGAAGTGCAACTCTGTAGTATCAGACCCTCAACGAATGACACGTGACTTGAGTCATTCCATATCAATGACTTTCAGAGCACGTTTTTGGACAAGGCAAAATATAGTATATTAACTGCAGTTCCTGTCATTATCCTTTCTATTTTCGTAATTTTTCAAACCTAAATGAATTTTAATACTTAAAGTTTTTAAACTGTGTACTACCTGCTGTTCAAGGCAGCAAGGTTTTTATTATATTGTCCAATGTTTTAAGGTGGTAATGATGACAAATTAAGACCCATCATGGCGACAGCTTCACTCATTATATATGTAGACAGCAAAGTGAATCAAGGGGGTGAATCAAGCAAAAATCTAACACTTCCTCTTCTTGAAATTCATGCGTTGCGGTTGCTATATTATAAAAAAAGGGTAGAAGCTGCGGAAATTGTTTCATTCCTAGGGAATTTGATTGACGAGTGGTATTTGCAAGAGTTGGACCAATATTCTATGCTTAGTATTGATTGCTAATTACCGCAATAAAATAGTTAATTTTACCTCATTCTGGCATTTAAAGAAAAAGGAAAAGATGTATTAATGATTTCAAAAATCCCAAATCCCCTTTTCTTAAGAATTTACTTTACTTTACTCTGAGTTTTAATGTATTTGCAA